CCCTGCTCCCTGTCACAGGCCTCCTGCCTCGGTGGTCGTAAGTCACCTATTCTGGCCACCAGAGTTTCACCTGTTTCAATTGAATTTTAAAGCATAAATAGTCTACCAGGCAGAAAAGATGGGAAAGGGAGCCCCCGGCAGAGGGCACAGCCTGTCAGAGGCTCAGCAGCAGGACACAAGCGGGGCTTGTTTGGAAAGCTGCCTGCAGCCCAGCCCACTTAGGACAAGGTGATGGGGATGGGACAGGAAGGGGGTGTGAGTGGAGATGAGAGTGGGAGAGTTAGCAGGGGCCATACCCACCTGGGGACCTCACTCAGGGCAGCTATCTCTGGATGGCCAAAGGGCCAAGCCCTACTCACAGGATGGCCCAGCCACCCTTGGTGCCCTGAAAGGGTAGGGTTCTCTAGGAGAGTGGCTAACAACAACAACAACAACCACCACTTCTACTGGGCTCTGCGGGGCTCACTCACTCTAATGCAACCTTAAGGGGTGGGGACATTATCTCTCATTTTGCAGATAAGAGAAAAGACAGGGCCCTCCCATCAACTCTTCAGCTGGTTAACAGGTGGGAAGCAACCCAGGGAGACATCTGGTCACCTGTCTCCTTGTTCCTTAACTCCCCAGTCACACCTGGGTGTGACCTGAAGTTTCGCAGAGTGTGAAGCCCCCCTGAAATGCCCCCCACCCCAGTGCAGCGTCTGGAGCCCTGGACTGGTGGTGGCCTGGTTCTAGTTCCCAATCTGCTCCCACCTTGCTGGGTGACTTCGAGATGGTGGTTTAACCTCTCTGAGCTTCAGTTTACCCTTTTGGGAATTGGGGATCCTAGCGACTGCCTTATCTCCTGCTCCAGTTCCGGTGAGACTCCCAGGAGTGAACAGATAAAGAGGGCTTTTGAAAAGTACAAAGAGCTGCACTCACGACAGTGCAATTATTATTGTTACTTCGATGTGGAGATAAGGGAGGGGGAGGAGGTGCAGTGAACCGTTGCCAAGAAACCCCGGAGCTGTCAGCAGCAGCTTCCGGCCTGGCCCATCCCACTCAGGAGCTGGGCCACTGGGCACCCCCACCACTACTCCACCGCACTCTTTCCCAGGGAGGGGTGGGCACTCTGATGGGGGCAGAGCTGGGGCCAGCTGACTGGTGGCCATGCACCTGCAGGGCCTGAAGGTGACCTTGGAATGTGCCTGGTCCAGACTCCAGGTTGGCTCCAGCTTTCTGTGTGACCTTGGGCAAGTCATCTCCTCTCTGGCTGCTGCCTTTTCCTGTGTTCAGGTGTCCTGTACTATAGGCAGGTGTCCAGGCCAGACAGGGCAGGATTGGAGCTGGACCGAGGGAAGTTGCTAGCTAGTGGCTGCAGGAGCCAGGGACCACTGGGAGCTGACTGACAGGACTGAGGGCCTGAGTTGAGAGCGGCTGTGATATGTGTAGTAGAAGAACCCTGGGCTGGAGTAAAACTTTGGCATTGCCCTTTCCCTGGTGTGACCCTGGGCTTGTCACTTAACCTCTCTGAACCTCAGTTTTCTTATCTGGAAAAAAGGATGATAATAATGCAACCTCACAAAGCTGCTGTGGTGATTCAATGAGATAATGCCTGAGCAAACTGTAGAGAGCTGTGCAGATATGACTTATGGCCAAGGGGACAGGAAAAGTAGGGAGAGGTCCCCATGTCCCAGCGAGCTCCAGGCACTTCCCAGATGCTGCATGTGTGGGGAGAAGGAAAAGCATTTTAAGCTGAGCCAGGCCATGGGGTCAGGAACGTTTTCAGAGAAGCGAGGAAGAGGGCAGAGACTTGGGGGACCTCATGTGAATGGGAATGATGGAAACCAGGAGACAAAGGTGGGATGGGAGAGAAAGAGGAGGGACAGAGAGCTTCAAATTCATGAGAGGGAGGAAAATTACCAAGTAGGGGGAGGTCTGCAGGGACCAGAGGCAGAGGGGAATGAAGAGTGGGCTAGAAAGGTGAGGAAGAAATGGGTGAGAGGTGAGGAAGTCTGAGAGAAGGAGGAGGAGGCATCAGGGGAGGGGAAAAGGGTAGGGAGGGAGGTGAGAGGCTGTTTATTCATTTCTTCAAAGGTATTATTGAGCAACACTATTTACTAAAAGGCAGTGTAGTATAGCATTAGGGCAGCAGCTAGACCCGATGGTTAGGGGTTCAGAGCCTCTTGATTTCCCTTACTGTCAGTGTGACCTTGGACATGATGCTTAACCTCTCCGTGTCTTAGTTCCCTCCTCTGAAAGATGAGGGTGAAATGAGTGAATAACAAGTGAAGCAGTTAGAGCAGGGCCCACACACGGTCCGTCCTGTACCAGCACTGGCTGCCTGGGCTGTCACTATTATAATCACCTTGCCGGTGCGCTGTGTCTGGAGGGCTGGCCAGCCATGCTGGGAAGTTCAGATACTTGGCTCTGGAGTGACATACCTGGGTTCAAATGCCTGTTCTGCCTCATTAACTGTGTGACCTTGGGCAAGTTGATATACCTTTCTGAGACTCAGTTTCCTCATGTGTAAAGCAGGTAGTTTTTGAGTGCCTGCCTCACTGGGGAGCTGCAAGAATTAAGAAAAATCATGGAAGGCACAGGGAGGCTGTGGCTTTTGTTATTATTGTCCTTCTGTCCCTGCAGGGTTGGGATGGTTGAGGGCAGGCTGGGCCCAGAGCCTCTGATTTCCTGCTCTGTCCTCATCCTGGAGTCCCTCCCTTCCCCTGCCCCTTAGGGCCTCAGCCATGGCCTTTTAGGTAGATGAGTTGCCTCTGAGGCGGGGGCTCTGGCCAGCTGGGAACTGGAGAGCTGAGGGCCTTGGGCAGGGTTCCGAGAGAAACCAGAGCCCTCTTGTCTTGCAAGATCTACTGAGTCCTGAGCCAACATGAGCCGTGGCATCCAGACACAGGGAAACTGAGGCAGGTCCTAGAAGGCGGGCGTGTTAGGGAGCTGCTGCCAGGCTGACCTGCAGCGGCCACGGTCTGAGCCTTGGGGAATGAGAAGGGGTGGACAGAAGGACAGTGCCTGATTAGCTTAATCCTGGACAAAAACCTCCACTCAGCAGCCAGGGCCACCAAGACAGTGGTCCCCACCATCCTGGGCTTCAACCTCAGGACTTCCTGGTCCTTGGACAGCCTCTGCTCTCCATCCCACTGGCATTGGCCTTGCTCAGTCAAGAGCATGGGCTTTAAATTCTGTCTCTGTCACCCACTTGCTGGGAGAAGTGGCTTCGTCTCTCTGAGCTTCAGTTTCTCCATCTGTAAAAATGGGGATAGATAATGCCAACCTCTTAGCACTATAGTGAGGCTGTAACATGCCTAACATAGTTCCAGGCTCCGGGTAGGTCTCAAGAGTCCCCACAGCAGCCTCAGTGGAATTTGCTTGGACCATTTCTATGGGCCCCTCTCCACTTCCCCTTCCCCAGATTCTCCCCATGTCACTGCACCTTATAATCTACAGGAACCTTTGTTTAGGCCATTCCCTTGCTCACAAACCTTTACTGCCTTCCTACTGCCAACATGCATTCACTCATTTACTCATCCATTCAACAAATTCTTAATGAGACCCTAATGTGGGGAGCCAGAGTTTACCACGAATGAATGGATATCAAGGAATTCACTGGGTAAATACCTACTAGCTGCCCAGGCTCTATGATGAATTTTTCTGGAAACTGAGAATGAGAGAGGTGTGTCACTGACTTAAAGTCACACAGCAGGTGAGTCCCAGCAGGCCTGAGACTGTCTCCCTCACACTGATGCCACAAACCTAAAATGCCACTGTCACCATATCTATCCTCTGGGTCAAGCACTGCCCAGTGCAAGGCCCCCTTTTAAGATGCCTGCACCCCTGGGAGGTGGAGAGGCATCTGGTGCCTGTAGCAGGGCTGTGGGCCATCCCTCTGAGCCATTTCTGTCCAAGTAGTTGGGCCCAGGGGAGTCAGCAGCAGGGCTCAGAGCTTCCTCAGGGTCTTCTTCCTGGACCAGGTTCCCACAGGCACTTCCCCTCTTGGGGTGTGGCAGGCCCAGCTCCGCCTGACTCAAGCTCGATGTGAGCCGAATGACTCACCCTCTCAGAGCCAGCCTCGGTGGAGGGACTGAGGTGGGGGTGCAGCCACATCAGGGTGGCCCTGGGCAGTGGGCGGAAGCCAGGCCTGCTTGCCCAGCCCTGGACGACCTGGGTCCCAGGAACCACCAGGCACTTCCTCTTCCTGACCCCAGAGGTGGCCTCCTCCTAGGCTTTCTAGGGTAGCAGGAGCTGACTTCACCCTCACCAGACCTGCTTCCTTTCCTCAGGGAGGGGTGTGGGTGTGGGCAAAGAGTCTGGGCTTGGAGTCAGTCAAGCCTCGCTCAGATGCTGGCTCTGCCGCTGACCAGATGTATGACCTCTGCGTGCCTCGTCATCTGGAAAGTGGGAATACCATTGCGGTGACGAGTCTGTGCCCTTAGGCCTGGAAAGAGGGGCTCGGCACAGGGCCTGGCACATAGTAGGCCTAATGAGTGTCGGTTATTGTTACTACCACTAACCATAGCAGTGACCAGGGTGCCCTCTCAGCCTTAAAGCTGCTGTCTCCCTGAAGGCTCTGGGGGGTGGTGCTTAGAGGCTGGGGGGTACCCCTGCTTAGTCCAGAGGTCAGGGTTCAGCTCTTTACAGCAACCCTCACTGCCCCTGCCTCAGTCTACCCATCTTTAGAATGGGCTGTGGACATCCTCTTGGCTGGAGTGTGGGTTAGGGAGGCCTAATAGAGAGCTTGGAGAGAGATTCTGTCCACATCTCTGATCTCTGGGGAAGGAGAGCCTGTTTGGCAGCCCTGTTCAAGAAGCCCCTCCTCTTTTGCCTCCTGGAGAACCAAGACTCCCTCCTCCAAGATACCTGTCCCCCCTAATGTCTCCCACTCTGAGAGTGACTCTTCCTCCCAAAATTTACAAATCTCCCAACCTGGGGCCCTCC